TAAAGCATGGGGCTGGGAAGGTAGCTCAGCGGTAGAGTGCATGCCTTGCAAGCATGAGGCCCTGGGTTCAATTCCTCAGCACCACATAAACAGAAAAAGCTGGAAGTGGTGCTGTGGCTCCAGTGGTAGAGCGCTAGCCTTGAGCTGAAGAGCTGAGGGACAGCGCCCAGGCCCAGAGTTCAGGCCCCATGACCGGACCCAACAACAACAAAAAAAAAACCTAAAGCATAACTAAAAGTAACTAAAGGGCTGGGGGCCTGGCTTATGTGGTGGAGTGTCTGCTTAGCAAGTACAAGGCTTGAGTTCAAATCCTAGTACCCTGAAAAACAAAAGCACAGGGTTCAGTAAACTCAGGAATGATAATTCTGTAAGATCCTAAAATGGCCATGGCTCCCCAAACAGGAAAGTCAACAGAACATAAAATCAACGCAGGAGTCAGGGTCGATATCCTTCCTTCCTATAAACAACAATCCGACAGCATAATGGAAAAACAAATCCCATTTACGAAGACAATGAAGATGGAGTACTTAGTAATTAACTTAACGAGGCATATGCCAGACGTCCGAGGCACAAATCCTTAGGACATACTCCACACATGCAAGCCGAGATGAAGATGAATGGAAAGACAGCCCTCGTTCTTCACATGTCCATTTCCTCTAAAATAATAAACCGAACATAATCCTGGTAAGGACACCAGCAAGCTTGTTTCTGGAACTATGTAGTTCTACATTCTCTTTCATGTGGAAAGCACAACATGAAAGAATAAGGAAGGCAGGGTCAAACATGGTGATGCATGCCTGTAGTTCCAGCTACTTGGAAGGTAAAGGTGGGAAATACTTATAAAAGCTTGTGAGGCTGGGCACTGGTGGCTCATACCTAATAATCCTAGCTACTCAGGAGGCTGAGATCTGAGGATCACGGTTCAAAGTCAGCCTGGGCAGGAAAGTCCATGAGACTCTTTATCTTCAATAAACCACTGGAAAACCAGAAATGGTGCTGTGGCTCAAGTGCTAGAGCACTAAGCCTTGAGCTGAAGAGCTTCAGGGACGGCACCCAGGCCCAGAGTTCAAGCCCCACCACTGACAAAAAAACAAAACAAAAAAAGCTTTAGGGGGGATTGGTCCTCAAGATGGCTTCATGCTGGCATTTGAACAAAGGACAGAATGTAATAGGAAGTTCAGACGGAGACAGATGTATGGAAACAGTGGTCTATATATAAAAGATAGCTTTGTAGTTTTGCTTTTTGAAAACAATGTCCCCACAAAAGCAAAGCATGTTTATTCCAGTGCCTCCCAAGTCTGAGTTTGTGCCTTACAGAGACTCTCTTGCATACACACAAGACAGGTATTTATTATAAATTATAGTCGCCAAAAAAAAAACAGCACACTGGGCACCGTGGCTCACTGTAGTCCCAGCGCCTCAGGAGGTAGTGGAGATCAGCAGAATTCTGCTGTGTGTTAGAAGTGCACAGCAATGCCCCAGTATCAGAAAGGAATAGACATTGATATAGGAGATTTTTTTAGGTTCACTAAATTTATTTTAAAAATCATAAAACGTTTCTTACAAAAGAGCATTACATTCTGCACACTGCTCTGAACAAATGCCAGGAACATGTGAACTATTGTTACTTTCCTCCCTGTCCCACCCCCCAACTGTTTACAGTGACCACAAGCAAGGTGTTCACAATCATTACATAGGGGGAATTTTTTTTAAACCACCAACAATGAACAAAAAAATCCACTCTGCTGCTGTTTCAGAATTTCAATGTTAGTTTTTTGTTGTTGGTGGTGGTCGTGGGGCTTGAACTCAGCCTGAGAGCTTGTCCCTCAGCTCTTCAGCTCAAGGTGAGTGTCTACCACTTGAGCCACAGCACCACTTCGGGTTTTCTAGTGGTTTATTGGAGATTTGGAGATAAGAGTTTCTCGGACTCTGGCTTTGAAGTGCAATCCTTAGATCTCAGCCTCCTGAGTAGCTAGGATTACAGGCATGAACCTTCAGAGTCCAGCTCAATGTTAGTTTTGTACACCCTCCCCCCCCAAACCCTGTTTGTAAGGAACTAAAACATCTGGTAAACAGTAAAGATTTCACTGCACCTCAAATGCAGAATACTACGAAGCAGAGGAATGTTGGCTTTTTAAGCAGAAGCAGATTTAAAAAAATAAAAAAGATGCAGGACTCCTTCAGTTCTTCACTAGTCTTAGAAAAACTTTCCAGAATACTGCTTCACACTGTTCTGCAGTAAATACTGTGCATCCTGAATCTGGTGATCCAATCTTTGGATTCTTCTAAAGGCTCATCAATTTTGATCAAAGCTTCTGGCTCATGACAGATTTGTTTATTCCTTTGATCACCTTTGCCAATAATAGATCCAGCCAAATATTTGGGAATAGTTACTTGTGTAGTAATAATAGGTTCACCAAGATCACCATATGAGCCACGATTCCCTGCATAGGAATAATCATATCCAGAGCCACCCTGTGATTCATAAGCCATCTGCCCTTCTGATGGGCTCCATGTATCTATAGCAGAGTCCCAAGGTTCATCAGCACTAAAACCAACCATACCATCATAGCAGTCTCCAGTTCTTCCTTTTCTGTCATAGGCCATTACAATACTCTACACAATCAGTGAGGTTTCTCTAGTAACAAACTACAGAAATGATCCCTGAAAGTATAGTCTTAATGATATAGGAGATTTTGTCAAGACAATTTACTTTTGTGCAAAAGGGTGCAATACCATCACTCTCAAAGCTAGGCAGGCACACCAGGCAGGGAAATCTGCTAGCTTTTTGTTTTGTTTGTTTTTGGTCAGTTGTGGGGCTTGAGTTCTGGGCCTGGGCACTGTCCCTCAGCTCTTCAGCTCAAGGATAGCTCTCTTCCACTTGAGCCACAGCGCTACTTCCAGTTTTTTCTGTTTATGTGGTGCTGAGGAATGGAACCCAGGGCCTCCTGCATGCAAGGCAAGCACTCTACCACTGAGCCACCTTCCCAGCCTTGTGGGTTTTTGTTTTTGTTTTTGGCCAGTCCTGGGGCTTGAACTCAAAAGCCTGGTCACTGTTCCTGATTGTTTTTGCTCAAGCCTAGTGCTCTACCACTTGAGTCATAGCACCACTTCTGGCCGTTCCTGAGAGGTTTATTAGAGATAAGAGTCTCATGGATTTTCTTGCCTGGACTGGCTTTGAACTGATATCCTCAGGTGTCAGCCTCCTGAGTAGCTAGGATTACAGATGTAAGCCACCATTGCCTGGCTTTGCTAGGCTTTTTTTTTTTTTTTTTTAATCAGAGTCCATACTGTCCCTGCTCCTTGTCAAGGAGTTAAGACTAGACTCACATTGATTGCCAAGGTTAGAAATGGAACTGTTCTTTAACTCTTATAAAAGATGTGATTTACCTTTTATCCCCTCTTGTCACAGCTGGCTGGAAGCAGGATTGGGAATGGGGTAACTGACAAATATAGTTGGAATAGGTTGATGAAGTCAGTGGGAAGCTCCCACTCAAGCCGGGCCCTGGTGGTTCACACCTGTAATCCCAGCTACTCAGGAGGCTAAGATCTGAGGATTTGGGGTCGAAGCTGGCCCAAGCAGGAAAGTTTGTGAGACTTTTAGTCTGCAATTAACCACCAGAAAATCGGAAATTGTGCTGTGGCTCAAAGTGGTAGAGCACTAGCCTTGAGCAGAAGAGCTCAGAGATAACACCAAGGCCCTGAATTGATGGCCCACATACCCGCCCCCCCCCAAAAAAAGACTCCCACTCAAAGGATCTTCTTTTTAATTCTATTGATAAAGATTTATCTTCCTAATATGGCTAGCTGGTTACAAGTAGCATACCTGGTTGCAGTTTATTCTTTTAACTCCTTTTAACATATTCATATTCCTAACATGGCTGGCTGGTCACAAACAGTGCAGATAATAGTTCCAATTGAAGTAAAAAAGCAATTCCAGCAAATATCAAAACCAGGAAATATCATTATGTAAGATGGAGGCACTTTGGTTTGACAGAAAAGATTACTTTTTCTCACACCAGGGTAAAGGTTAGCAAGACCCCAACTCAAAAAAGGGGATGGTAGAACATGCCTGTCATCCCAGCTTCTGGGAAGGGGGTCAGTAGGGTTGTGATGCAAGCTAGCCAGGACACACACACACAATATGTGAGAAGCTATCTGGGAAATAACCAAAGCAAAAACTTGGGGCATGATTCAAGTGGTAGAGAGCTAGAGGAGCAAGTACAAGGTCCTGAGTTCAAATCCCAGCTTGGCTTCTCCAATAATTAAAGGCCCAGAAACTATCCATAGAGAGGGAACCTAGAGAGTACCTGCCTATTCTGATATCTGCCTTGACTCCACTCTCTCACCTAGCATATAAGGGTTGCTGAAAGGAATCTCCCTCTGGCTCGGGGGAAGAGGATTTATTGAGAGGGAGAGACCAAACTGCCCACCTGCACAAGCTGGAGTCATGCAGGACAAGAGAGCTTATGGCAGGAGGAGAAAGATTATATAGGGGAGGGTGGGAGGGGTGTAGCCACAGTGGAAGCAGAGGTGACCTCAGAGGATGGGGAAATGAGAGCCTGAGGGACCTCCTGCTGCCCCCAGGCAAGACAGTTAACTGGTTTACAGGTGCTGGGTGGGGACTAATGGGGTTCATGGGCAAAAAAACAAGGAAAGGGGCCACTTCTCCCCAGTGGGCCTAACACCTAGTACTACCCATATTTCTGGTGACACAGTCATCCTCTTTATTGTAAGTGTCTATAGGTCATGTGGCTTGAACTCAGGCCTGGACCCTGACCCTGAACTTTTTAGCTCAAGAGCAGCACTCCCAACAGTTCACCACAGTGTTATGCCAGGCTTTTGGTGGTTAATTGGAGCTAAGAGTCTCACAGATTTCCTACCAGGGCTGGCTTTGTACGGTGATCCTCAGATCTCAGCCTCTTGAGTTGGGTAGAACGGTAGGCATGGCCACAAGCGCTCTGCTGCACCCTGGTATTTGACAAGACAACATTGGAAGTGGCGCTGTGCTCAAAGTGGTAGAGCGATAGCCTTGTGCAAAAGAGCTCAGGGACAGTGCCCAGTCCCCAAGCTCCACGACCAGAAGAAAAAAAGCATTTTTTCTTTTCTTTCTTTTTCTTTTCGTGGGGTTTGAGCTCTGGGCCTGGGCGCTGTCCCTGAGCTCTTCAGCTCAAGGCTATTGCTCTATCACTTGAGCCACAGCGCCACTTCCATTTTGGGGGTGGGGTGGGGTGGTGATTAATCGGAGATGGTATTCTCTCGGGGCTTTCCTGCCTGGGCTGGCTTCGAACTGCGAACCTCAAATCTCAGCCTCCTTGTGTAGTTAGGATTACAGGCGTGAGCCACCGGCGCCAGGCTCTAGTGTGCAGCTCTTGCCTGCCCCGCGCATTGCGAAACGGGCGCAAAGCGCAGCGCGGCACTCAGGCTGCCGCTCGCCACTAGCGCGCGCTCCGTCCAGGGTAAGTTGCCTTGGCAACCGGTGGCTTCCACTCCTGCCCCCGCAGCCAGAGGCGCTGAAAGATGACGTAATCACTCCGCGCCAAAACTGCCTGCAGCTGCCACTTGCCATTGGTTAGCACGAAGACGGAGTCAACGGCTTACCAATGGGAGGCGCCACGCGCCTGAAGGCGGGACTGGCGCGTACCTGAAGCGCCCGGCCTGCCGGAAGCAGGTGTCGCTGCGGACCTGGGCGTATGCAGACTGGCTCAGGTGGGTAAGGGGCCGTGACTGGGCTTCGGGGGCGCCGGGACTGCCGAGGAGACCCCGAGTCCCGACGGGCGCCGTGTGTGGGCACCGGGTTACCGCCTTCCACGTGGTCCACAGAGGCCTCGGCGCGGGACCCGGTGGTCGGCACCCGCGGGAGCCCGGCGGGCGGCGAGCGGCCCCGGCCGGCCCGGTGTGGACGAGCTGAGGGCGGCCTGCAGGCCGGGGTGGGAGGCGAGCCCTAGTTGCCCGCAAAGGTGTTGGCACTTCCTTTCTTTCGTAAGCCTGTCCCGCATTTCCATCTTTCATTTATTCATCCATTCATTGAATGGCCGCTCCTTGGGTTCCTCCTGTTTGTCGTCATTGCTCTAGGCTACGGGGCCACAGCTGTGGATCAGGTGGAGACCAACGTCGGACTAAAGTCCCATCTGCTTCTAGATGGGAGAGACCACGTGGTGATGTGAACCTTTGAGAGAAAAATAACCACGGGCGGGTGGAAGGTGGAGAGGAGAAGCCGGGGAGAACATGTAAGAGAACTTGTGAGCTGGGGAAACATGTAGGCATACACCGAAGGTGAGGGAGAGGCTGGGGCCCATTGAGGGGAAAGAAGCGGAGAGGAGGTTCCAGAGGTGGGCGCAGAGCATCAACGGGAGGGACCCTGCAGTTTCCAAGGGACACTCAGAGAAGCATTCAAGCCAAGGTGAGACTCGGATCTGACACAGATATTTTAACTATAGAAGGGTATGGGAAATCAGCTGGAGGGGTAAGGCAGAACTAGAGATTAGTCTCAGAGAGATTGGCCTGGACCAGTGTACCCAGAGTATAGATAGTAAAATATAGATAGTAAACACAAGTGATATTCTGGATAGCTTTTTTTGCTCAAGGTTGGCGCTGTACCACTTGAGCTACAGCTCTACTTCTGGCTTTTTGCTGGTTATTTGGCTCTAAGCCTCACAGACTTGTCTGCCTGTGTTGACTTCAAACCATGGTCCTCAAGTTTCAGCCTTCTGAGTAGCTAGGATTACAGGTGTGAGCCACTGGCATCCAGTGAGTTAAGATTGTTTTATCACTTGGCTGTTTATTGAGAGGACAGACATGGAGGGGAGATGGAACAGGAGCTGTCATTGTCGTGTGTTAAGTTTGGGGTTATAGGTATGTGGGTGAGATACACAGGTATAATGTACCAAGTAAGCAGTATAGTTCTGGGAGAACTCTGAGAAGAGGCCTCACGATGGTGAAAGCTGAGCTGCTGTCACCTGGCCAAGTACCCTATGTGCCATGATCCTTAGTCACATGGTGTCCTTGTGGTAAAGTGGCTGGGGCTAGGATTCACTTGAGTAAATGGGGTTCACTAAAGGGCAAGTTGCTCTGGGAGAGCAGTGAGAAGGCAGAGCTAAAGCTGGTGGAGATGGGGTAAGTTGCCTACAGTGATGTTGTGGTCAAGGGGAAGAGGCTATGCATTGTAAAGTGTTTGGTGTGGTGTTGGGGGAGCTTGTGGAAGTTTCTCCAAGTGCCTCTGGGTCTGCTCCAAGCCTGAAGTTGTCTCCAGAGGGTGGAGGCAGGGAGAAGTTGGAGAGAAGAGTTGGGAGAGGTGAGATGAGGCCTTGTAGGAAAGGGGCTGGAGTGGGGACCAGGATACTGTTACTGAACCCCATTGCACAGGCAGGGGTGGCAGGTCATAGTGACTGAAAGGCAGTTGAGTTCTAGGGTGCCTTCGGTGCTCCCTGGAAGGACAGGAGGTGGGACTGGTAGATGGATGGGCTTCAAGCCCTAAATTAATACTCAAATAGGATGTGGGAGGGAGGGCATAGAGGAGAGCAGGATCTATGGGCTGAGTATTGGAGGCTGGGCAGTTTAGAATGTGGTTTTGGAGTAGGTCAATGTGGGTGTGGGGACTCAGACTCCATTCCTGGACACCCTTCACTGAACTCTTGGAAATTTGATGGTGGGCTTTTTCTTACCCCTGCTCCTGTACAGTCCTCTTCCTCCACCCACCCAGCCCAGGGAACTTAGTCTCGTGCTGCTTTGTAGGATTTGATCCAAGTCACTTGGTGTTTTCCTGAAGGCCTGTGAGAAAACATAAGCTCTCTGACAGTGGTGAGTGGTACCACAGGTGTAGCTTATGGGTCCCAGCCCTGGCTGTAAACATACTGTCCTACTTTAAGGGTACACATGGCTTTCACCAACACACATCTCAGCACATGTATTTTCCACATTTTTTTTTTTTTTTTTGTCAGTCATCGGCTTGAACTCTGGGCCTGGGCACTGTTCCCGAGCTCTTCAGCTCAAGGTGAGCACTCTGCCACTTGAGCTACAGCACCACTTCCATTTTTCTGGTGGTTAATTGGAGATAAGAGTTTCACGGCCTTTCCTTCCCAGACTGGCTTTGAACCTTAATCCTCAGATCTCAGCCTCCTGAGTAGCTAGGATTACAGGTGTGAGCCACTGGCACCCGGCTTCTTTCTTTTCTTCAATAAAGGGCACTTGAGCATTTCCATTTTAAGTCTATGGCATTATAGCCTTTAAGGGACTAGGGAGGTGACTCGGTGGTACAGTGCTTGCCTTGCATGCATGGAGTCCCTGGGTTCGATTCCTCAGCACCACATAAACAGAAAAAGCCGGAAGTGTGCTGTCACTCAAGTGGTAGAGAGCTAGCCTTGAGCTGAAGAGCTGAAGGACAGCGCCCAGGCCCAGAGTTCAATCCTCATGACTGACCAAAAAAAAGTACATGTAGGGCTGGGAAGGTGGCTCAGTGGTAGAGTGCTTGCCTTGTATGCATGAGGCCCTGGGTTCGATTCCTTAGCACTACATAAGCAGAAAAAGCCTGAACTGGTGTTGTGGCTCAAGTGATAGAGTGCTAGCCTTGAGCTGAAGAGCTGAGGGACAGTGCCCAGGTCCAGAGTTCAGGCCCCATAACCAACCAAAAAAAAAAGTACGTGTAGCTGGGTACCGACCGGGTACATGACACTGTGGCTCAAGTGGTAGAGCGCTTGTCTTTAGCTGAAGAGCTGAGGGACAGTGCTTAGGCCCAGAGTTCAAGCCCTATGACTAACAAAAAATAAAAATAAAAATGTATATGTATTTGTAGAGTTGTGCAACTATCCCCACCACCTAATATTGGAACACTTTTCTTCCCAAAGACACTAGAATCACTTCCTGTCTTCCTTGCTGCCTTCATGCTCAGCACCCATGGGCTTCTTTCTGTTTGTATTTTACTTGAAATTATGAATATTTCCTTCAGGTGGAATTATGCCATTATGTGGTTTTTCATGTCTGACCTTTCACTTAGCATGTTTTCAAGGTTCATCCATTTTGTAGTTGTAGCATGTGCTAGAATTTCTTTTTTGGGGGCTGAATACTACTCCACTGTATGGTTATATCACATTTGGGCATTTAGGTCCGCTGTACTTTCTGGATAGTCTCGCATTGCTGTGAATATTTCCAGCTGGTCATGTGACATTTCTTTGTATTCTTTGTTTTGTACATGCATCTAAGAGTGCAGTTGCTGCTAGTCAGAGGGTAGCTGCTTGTTATTAACTTCTGCTTTGTATTTTTTTCTGGAACTAAGATTTGAACTCAGGGTTTTGCTTGCTTAGCTGGCACTCTTCCACTTCCATGCCTGCAGTATGGCTTTTTGCTGGTTGGAGTTTCTCTGACTTTTTCTTCTAAGCTAGCCTTGAACCACAGTCCTCTGGAGCTCAGCCTCCTGAGTCTTTAGGATTATGAGTGTGAGCCACTGGCATCTGGCAGCTGGCATGGTTTTTGTTTGTTTGTTTTTTGTTTTTGTTTTTAATTGAGGAACTGCCCAGATTAGTTACCAGAGTGTCTACACCATTTTACCAGTGGTGAACGAGGCTCTAATTCCCTACCATCTCAATAATAGTTACCGTTATTTTTTCTTTCTTTCTGGTTTTACTTTCTTGCCACCATTTATAACATAAAGTTTTAAAATTCGACATAGTACACTTTTTTCTTTTCTTCTGCTGTATATGTTTTTAGTGATCTAAAATACCAGCATGTTCACAAAGATTGACCCGTTTTCCTCCTCTGATCAGGGTTTTGGCCCATGTTTAGTTGGTTTTTGTGTATGGTGTGAGGTAGGGATCCAAATTCCCTCTCTGACACTGGTTGTTCAGTTGTCACTGCACCTCTGAATTGTCTTGGCATCTTAGTTGAAAGTCAGTTAATCAAATATAAAAGTAAATGATGTTTTCTAGGACAAACATTTGTTGTCCCAAAGTTAGGAACTACTGAAAGAAACCACTCAATAACATGGAAATGTCTTTTTCTTCTTTTTCACAAATAGATTTAGCCATTCTATTTTAAAATAATATTCCCGGAATGAGTGTAGATTTAACTTTTTTCATACCTAGTGTGTAAATATTTGCTGAACTTTTTTAGTTCTCTGATGAGGTGGCTTGGTGCCTTCAGTGCCCCAGTGTCAACAGTCCTATTCTTTCAAGATTTCTTATTATATGGCTAATTGAAATTTGGAGCCTTTGGCTTCAGATACTTTTTAAAGTAAGGCTTAATTAAAGACCATGGGGCTTAGAATTTTCTGATTCCAGAATAGTCATCAACTTTCAATGCACTGCAATCAGTGGCAACGCCATGCGGGGCAGGGTCCCCCAGCTCATGCTCTATGCCCGCTCCTGGCTCTCTCCCAGATTTGGCCCAGCTTGGTCTCCAGGGAGGCCCAGTGCTTCTGGGTCTTTCCATTACCAACATTCTCTTTTATTTATTTGTTTTTTGGCTTTACTGGGTTTGACCTCAGATCCTCTCTCACTTGCTAGACAGTTGTGCTCTCTATCACTTGAGCCAAGTCCCTATCCCTTCTTTGCTTCAGTTATTTTTCAGGTATGGTCTCTGTTTTTGCCAGGCTGGCCTCTGATCACAATCCTACCTCTGCCTCCTGAGTAGCTGGAATGATAAGCATGGACCACTGTACTGGCCTCTTTTATTTTTATTTATTTTTGTGCTAATACTAGGGCTTGAACTCAGGGCCTCATGCTCTTACTTGGGTTTTTTTGTTGAAGACTAGTACTCTACCATGTGAGACACAGCTTTACTTCTGGATTTTTGCTGGTTGATTGGAGATAAGCCTCATGGACTTCTCTACCAGGCCAGCTTCCAAACATGATCCTCAGATCTCAGCTTCCTGAGTAGTGAGGATTACAAGTGTCAGTCACTGGTGCCTAGCTGTACTTGACCTCTTTTAACTTATATATATTTAGCATTTAAAAAATAAAATCCCTTAGCCGTGCTCTGGTGGTTCACACTTGTAATCCTAGATACTCAGGCGGCTGAGGTCTGAGGATTGGGATTCAAAGCCAGCCCAGGTAGGAAAGTCCTTGAGTCTCTTATCTCCAGTTAATCACAGAAAAGGCTGGAAGTGGTGCTGTGGCTCAAGTGGTAGAGTACTAGCCTTGAGCAAAAAGAAGCTCAGAGAGAGAGAGAGTGTCCAAGTCCAGAGTTTCAGCTGCAGAACCAGCAAAAAAAATAAAATAAAATTTCTTTGTATTTGTGTTATTGTGGGAGTGTACTCTCCCCCTTTGTTATGATCTGTGTCCTAAGGTCTCATTTCCTCATTTACCAGTGTGTTCTGTCTTGCAGGATGGCAAAACAGAAGAGAAAAGCTCCTCAACTGATGGAGAAAAAGAGCAAAAAGCAAAAGAAGGAAGGGGCAGCAGTAGCTGAGGTCAGGCTTCATAGGCAGAAAGCCAGCTCTGAGGTAAGGCCCAGTGCCTCTGTGGTGCAGACCTGGTACAAGCTACAGAGGGACCTTCTCAGTGTTTCCTCAGGTGGTTGTGGAACAAGAGGGCTTCAGGTAAGTGGGAGGAGCCTCTCTTCAGCTGCCATGTCTACAGGCTGCTCAATGTGGCCCAGTGAGGGCCCAGGAGGGTAAAGCCTGCATGTGGCCTGGCCTGTGCTCTCTGGAAGAGGCTTTGGAACAGAAGGGGACATTGTTTCTTACTGTGACACATGCCAGGGGTAGGATCTGGAAACCAGAGTATGAAATCTCACATGTAATAGTGGTTGAGGTGTGGCTCAAGTGGTAAAGCACCTGGTCCTGAGATCAAACCCAGGTACTAGAAGAACTGTTCACATGTAGCACAACATGTGCTAAGAGTGTGGGGCTCCACCACTTGTTGGGTGTAAGCAGTGGAATTGAGTGGCCATGGGAATGTGCACCCTGTTCTTGTCTGTGTAATGGGCTTTGTCCCTACCCTGGGCTCTGGCCCAGCCTTCCTGTGTGATTTTTAGATGTGACTGTGCAGTGCTTACCTGCCTAGTTCTCAGTGGTACCCTTGCTGTTCCAGCTGATGTTGTGCAGTGGTCCACCCAGCTCAGTGACCACACATTGTGTCCGTCAGTCGACATATGGCGAATCCCAGGAGGTGTGCAGCAGGGTGCCCCAGCATGGTACTGGCTGGCCTCTGAGGCTTGTGCCCACATCTGGGCTGAGCCCAGTGTCCTAGCAGGACGGGGACGGGGATGGGGATGGCAATGGGGACATGGAGGGCTTCATGCTGGTGGTCGTCCTATATCCTATGTCCAGATAGATGTGTCCAGATAGATGTGTATAAATAACCAGAAAAGAAGTTTGTTCTATCAGCTTTGAGACAGATGTGATTTGGGTATGTATGTATAAATACATACATACATATATATATATATATATATATATATATATATATATACACACACACACACAACACACACACACACACACACACACACAGAACCCAGGGTCTGGTGCATAGGCAAGTGCTCCACAATTGAGCCTCTTCCTCAGCCCCACAAAACACAAACTGATAGACCTGCCATTAGATGATGACTTGCTGAGGCTCTTGCTTTATTTTGGAAGGAAAGATCGGAGTAAGCATGCTGCAGTGCCACTCCAGTGTTGCCAGCTGGGCCTTTATGTGGTACCCAGAGGGATCGTTATGCTGGAGTGTGCATGCCTGAATAGGAAGACAGAGCCCCATCCCCTTGACTGGTGCCTGACCAGATTTTGCATGTGCACAGGTTGATCACTAGGACTCTGTCCATCTAGGCTACCCTGAGCATCCCTTGCACAGAACTGTTGGTTGGGCAAGGCCTATGGCATGAGAATGGGTAGTACAGGAGGTCTGTAAAGCAGATAAGCCTGGCACCTCTGCCTCACCCTGGGCTCCCCATGGCTGTGCACGCCTGGGGACCGGCAGCTGTATGCACAAGGCACCTTGATCACATCTGCAGAGGCTCTTGGGAGACAGGGCAGCATGGAACCTGCTTCCGTGCCTTGCTAAACTCGTTTAGAAGGCCATTAAGTTCTGTTCCTAGCATTGGTTCTTCCTGGTTCCTGGATTCCAGATGGAGGGTGACGTCCCACAGCCCCTGGAGTCTCTCCCAGAGCTCCAGCCTCTGAGGGCAGAGCTGTGGTCCTTCCTCCTTTCTCAAGACTCTTCTGGTTTCCTGAAAATGATCTGCATGAGTCACTGGGGAGGTTTTTAATTTATAAAACCTGTAGCTTTCTTTTCTTTCTTAGCCATCCCTCCTTGCAGCTTCCGGCACCCAGGCCCCTGACCCCTGGAAGGACTTACACAGAGGCTCTGGTTTAGGGTTGATGGGTTATATGGCCAAGATTGAAGTTCCTGCCCAAGCTCAGAAGTGAGTGATAGACATTCTTTTTACTTAAGTTCAAGTTATTATTTTTTTTAATATGTGAGTATTTTGATTACTAAAATGCATTTTGAAGTTGGGGTCATAGCTTCTACATATATAATCCCTGCTACTCAGGAGGCTGAGATCTGAGGATTTCAGTTCAAATCCAGCCTGGGCAGGAAAGTCTGTAAGATTATCTGCAATTAACCACCAGGAAACCAGAAGTGATGCTGTGGCTCAAAGTGGTAGAGCACTAACCTTGAGCCAAAAAGCTCAGGGACAGTGCCCAGGCTCTGATTTCAAGTGATACAACCAACAACTCGCCATCCCTGCAAAAACAAACAAAAAATTGTATTGAGACTGAATATAGTGGTACCTGCTTGCAACCCCAGCCATTCTAGAGGTAGAAGTAGGAGGATTATAGTCCATGGCCGGCCCAAGCAAAAGTGTGAGACCTATTTGAGAAAACAAACTAAAAAGCAAATGGGCAGGGACATGGCTCAAGTGATAAAGCTTCTGCCTTCCAAGTGGAAGGCCCTGGGTTCAATCCCTAGTATCAATAACAGAAGAGTAAAAGACTGGGAATGTGGGGGCTGGGAAGATGGCTCAGTGGTAGAGCGCTTGCCTTGCATGCCTGAGGCCCTGGGTTCGATTCCTCAGCACCACATAAGCAAAAAGAAAAAAGCCGGAAGTGGCGCTGTGGCTCAAGTGGTAGAGCTCTAGCCTTGAGCTGAAGAGCTGAGGGACAGCGCCCAGGCCCAGAGTTCAGGCCCCACAACCGGACCCCCCCCCAAAAAAAAAAGACTGGGAATGTGGCTTAGTGGTAGAGTGCTCACGTAGCATTCATGAAACCCTGGGTTCCTCACCACTCATAAATAGAAAAAGCCAGAAGTAGCACTGTGTCTCAAATGGTAGAGTGTTAGTCTTGAGCAAAAAAAGCTCAGAGACAATGTCCAGGTCCTGAGTTCAAGCCCCAAGACTGGCAAAAAAAAAAAAAGTGAAAGTATATGTTGAGTAAGAGAAATTTGGAAAAGGAGGGAAGATGAATGTGTTTTGCATGCTTCCTCTGGTCTCTTGGTTTGGTTTTCAGCATGGAGCTACTGGTAGATTTGCAGACTGTGTTTAGTTTTGTGACCACAGGTATTGAGAAGTGGCCTCTGGTGAAACAGCGGGTGGTCCACTGATCTTGGGGGGGCGGGGAGGCGGCTCATGGGGAGTTGTGGTTTGGCAGGCTGGCTGGCAGAGGTCACAGACGCTGTCCTTGTGGATAGAGTGCAGGAGCCTGGGGGAGTTCTCAGGCTGCCAGCCCTGCTTCTTGGTATGGTCTCTGTGACTTGGTGCTGTGGCTTGTGGGCATATTTATATCCTCAGACCCCCTTCTTGTCTTTTGGGGAGCCAGTCTTCCACCAAAGTGGAGGCTATCCTTCCCAACACAGGTGCCGACCTCTGTTGCCAGGGTGCTAGTCTCTGGTTTTCATGGGAAAGGATCAAAAGGAGGTGTCAGGCATATTTTTTAGAGGAAAAATATGGAGAACTTAGCCTAAGTGTTGGAGCAGGGTGGGTGGCAAGGCCTGGTGGAAAAGTACAACGGTGGTCCCCTCCAGTCCCCCAATGGCTGCCAGTGAAGCTCTGGGATCTGCTGTGTCCACTCCCAGTAATGTCTATCTGTAGAACACAGGCCTGTGTGTCCACTTCCCACAGTCCAGTGTTTGTGCTTCTGCCAGCACAGTGGACATGTCCCCATGTCCTGGAAATTTCATTGCTCCTTGGGGAGTGGTTTCCATGGAGTCTGGTTCCACTTGGGCCTGTGGGTTCAGTCTGTTAGCAGCCTAGACTGCATGGGGCTGCAGCCTTCCCTGCCCTGGCGCTGAGGTCTGGGGCGTGGCAGGGTGGGCATTTGTGGGGCAATATAGGCGCTTTGGGATGTCCTTGTCAGGAGCGTTGCTATCGACGTCCTGCCTGTTGTCTTGGTGACTGGATTCCTGGCAGCTGGTCTTGGAAAGGGCCTGGCACTTGCTCTTTCTCCTCTTCAGTGCTTTGCAGGGGCTTCCTGGCGCTGGCAGGCTGGAGTCTACAGTATTTTCTTTGTCTGGGGTGATTCCCTGGATGGAAAGTCTCAGGCTTTCCCCTGTGCCCTGGGAAACTCTTCTGATGAGCCCAGTTACTTGAACTGAATCCTCCAGAGCCAGTTCCTGTTGCAAAAGGCTGTGAAGACTGAGCTCCACCTGACCCTGCAGAGTGCCTTCCCCCCTCCCCTTTCCCTGCCAAGGACATACGTCCTGGGTATCATGTTTCTTTCCTGGACACTGAGCCACATGAAGGGAGATAACACCATGACACCAGGCCTCACCAGGTGTCTTCAGGGTGTGGACGCATCTGTAGCAGGCTAGCCTTGGCTGGCAGGAGCAGGGCTGTGAGGCAGGCAGGGCTCCTCATGGTTTCTCCAGGATGGGCCCTGCATCAACCAGTCTCTTTTTCCAAGGGCAGCAACATAGGGTCAGGGTTTTCAGTAGCCCCGAGATGCCAGGGCCAAGATGCAGTGCTGGGCTGGCTCTGCAGACCATAGAATAAATAGCTGGGTTACCTGTAGCCACCCAGCTGCTGGCAACAGAGCAGAGGCTTATAGCTGTGTTTCCTCAGGGTGTCTGGGGTGAGGTCTGACCTGGGCAGCAGTGGCTCTGAGTGAGCTGGGGAGCACCATGTAAGGAAATATCCCCATGCTTGTTGGCATCTGCGGCCCATTGCCGTGACTGTTGGCCATGTGGACGGGGACCAGGACCAGCCAGGCTGGAGTGTGTATGAGTGATGAGTGAGTGTGTAGGCAGTTGGCTGGCCAGTGGCAGTCAGTTCTCCAAGTGTAGCCTTGCTCATCCCTGCATGGTCATGACTCTGGAATCCTGCCCAATAGGCCTTGGGCCGTGGTGCTCACGTGGACAAGCCGTGTGGCTTTATGCTACTTCATTTTCTTTGTAAGCTTGAAAATTAGACACAAATCACATGGGCAGTTAGCCCTCAGCTTCCTATAAAACCATTAGAATGAAGCTGTGAACTTCATGGCCTTGAGAATTTTATCCAAGCCAAACC